TTAAGTTTAATAAATTGACCGTTTGATTGCATTCCGATTTTAAAAGTAAGGCAATGCTCATTTACCAAGGAGTTAATGGCGTATTCTCCGCATTATGCTCAGGGGTGACCATTAGTAATTCCCGAAGTAGATGAATATCCTTTTCAAAACCTTTTTTTTAAATTTCGAGGCAATGTATGATTATTGGGCATAATAATTGATCTCACACATTCATGCTTGGGGGTGAATATTATTGGATTTAATTCTTCAACTTTGCATCCATGGTGATTTCTAAATTAAATAAAATTTTGAACTCAAAACTTCCAATTTAAAATATAGGGTAATCAACTAGGTACTAATTTCTGGACGCTGTGGGGGTGATAACACTTTCTCACGCATAACCAACTCCCTAACATGTTTTTTGGTTTTCACATACCTCAAACTTGGTGTTTTGATAAAAATATAACGTTTCATTAAAATTATCTGGTTTTTGTTGTGTTCCAATCACCCTTAAAATGGTTGGTGGCGACTCTCAACATTTCATAAACTCATTTCAAAAACACTTCTAAACCCCATCGTTGTAACTCGTCGGCCTTTCCCCCGAGGGGCTGGTTGCGATAGTTTGACAACTCCGCTAGAGATATTTTGTTTTCTAAAACAAATTGAGAGTCGAGCCACAAGTTGATTACCTTATTTTTAGAATTTGGAAATTTTGAATTTGAATTTATTTAATTTACAATTCATTATGTTTTTTTTAAACTTTAAAAATGATTTTCTCTCTGGTTAATGCTTACATTTCTGTGAATATTTAGAACTGTTGCATATCATAACTCTATACCCGAACTTCGTCTCTATTTACTAAGTAGAAAAAACGTCACACCTCAAGGGAGCATTAAACTTCTTCGTGTGGGTCTGAAAAATTTCCTCTTGAAAGCATCCTAAATTACCCGACGATGGTGAATTAAAAAAATTAGTGGACGATACATCGAGCAGGTGGGGTGCATGCAAAAGATGGATATCAAAAACGAAAAAAACCGAGAAACCTTTGTTTGTGTAATCATTGAACAATTCAATCTGCCTCTTCTCAGTGCCAAAAAAAAAAAAGAGTGAGGTGTGAGACTGAATACCGTAACGCATGCTTTTTGAAATCGTGTGATAGTGATATTCGAATTCAATGCTCCTCTTCCCAGAATCCAAATGCCCACCTTCCATTTTAACTCACCCTTTGGACTCTTTCACATTTCCCCACATTTTTTGCACGTCGGTTCTTTCACTTCTCTCTCACTGTACAATTGTGTTATGACGGCAGAGAGAAGAAAAAGGGGTTTACATCAGCAATTGCCTGGAGAGCAAAGAAAGGAACGAAGCAGAGCTATCAATCCGTTTTACGAAGAAAAGTAAAGTCGTACAATTTCGTCATTGGAAGGGAACGGAAGGAAATGCGTCAGATCGGCCCACCATTGTCTCAATTATCAGCGTGAAGAAGAAAGAAAAAAAAAAGTTGTCTATAGCTTCATTTTATGCATAGGTAAATGCAAATTTCAGGAAAGACTGTAGAGCGTAGAGTGATTTTAGATGCAAACAAAGTTGTGTTATGATAGACTGTGTACTCGGCGTCATGCTCAGGAATGCCACACAGTAGTGAAGTGTTCAGTAACACCAATTACCTTCTCATGGCTGCTCTGTCCTCATTTGACTATTTCTACAAAAACCCTCTATTGTTTCGTATTTCTATTTGAATTCATATAGTGTATTGTCTACTTTTATATAAAAAATTCATGGTTAAATTTTATTGATAAATGTTTAACTGATTCGTGTGGTAATTAAATCTTTTTAAAAAAATATTTTAAAAATTATAAAAATTATAAAAAAATCCAAATTTCTTTATAAATTACAAAAAAACCGAAAAACTCTAAAATCTTTAGTCTCAATTCCTAGACCCCTAAAATCATAAACTTTTAAATTTCTAATCCAAATTTTAATGGGTGAGAGAATTAGTTAAGATTTAATCCCAAAGCGAAAGTTTCATACTAGGATTTGAGAGGAAAAAAAAATGCCGAACTGATGGATTGAATATTGAATTAGCGTCGAGCACCACTGAGCTGGGGAAATTGGTGCCGCTGCCTGGAAAAGGGGGAGAGGCAGGCGAATATAGTATTAATTAAAAAATAAATTCCAAGTTCTTTTTGAAAAATAAAAAATTCAAAAAAAATGAATGTAACATATGTTAATTAATGGTGAAATGTAATGTTCGTTACGAATTAAACATAAAAAATAATAATGCTTGTAACATTAAATATCTGAATAGACTGAAAAAAGTTTAGACACCACATTTAAAAAAGTTCAGTGTAAACATTTTTTATATTGAAATTTTAATTAAACAATATGTTCGTGTTTGCCTTGAAGACTTTAGTTTAATATATGGGTAAACTATACCAATACCAAATAAAAATAACTTATATTATTATTTTATCTGACAAAAATGAAAAAGTTAACCATTGTTTGCATTGAAGACTTTAGTTTAATATATGAGTAAAATTATGCAGATAGTCACCTATGTTTTCGTTATGATCGATTTTGATCATCAAAAAAATTAAGGGGATGATACCTAACGTTATAAATCCGTCTAATTTAAGTCTGTTACCGTTAACCCTTGACAGAAATCTTACGTGGAACTTAAAAATAAAAAATAAAAATTCTCTTCATCTTCTTGAGCTTAAAGTCTTAAACGCATAATAATTAAAAAACAAAACATAATTTTTTAAGATATCCACCACCTTCCACTCATGCAGTCTTCGTCACCATATCCACCAAAGCACGCTTACAAACAGAGCTCCGTCGCTAGCCACCCCACGAAGTACCCTTGTAGCTATGGCCACCGCACCACACTCTAATCTCCCACAACCCTTGTAAACAACCTAACACGTTGCCGATAAGTTGCTCTTTACTCTCCGACAAGATAAATAGCCGCCGGATTCAGAATCGTCGCGTCGAAATATCGAAGGTTTTGAATCGAAAAACTGAGAAAATTATCATAGTCATTGGAACATACAACATTTCTCTCCAAGTATTATCGGAACCAAAGCTGGAGTTGTCCAAAACACAAACATTGGATTTCCTCTTTTTATTGTTTCTGGTTCAGGTTCAGCCCTTGGTTTTGATGGCAAGAAATGGACTACTGGTAATAATCATCACAATGGGCGGTGGTGGTTAAGCACTTAAGATGAAACCGAGACTCTTTTCTTTTCAAGGAACCTCTTGTCGGATTCATCTCAATCCGTCACCAGCTTACAACCCCATTAGAGACGTTTCAACAGGAAAAGGTGCAACAATTTTCATAGGAGAATAACCAAGAACCAGAGTTGTGACATGGGGGTTTTAACATTGGAAGGAGACCGTGAGTGGTTAATGGGGGAAGAAGGGGCGATGGGGACCACATGATTTTTTAATTACCACGTAATAATTTCATTAATTTATGTACATAAATTAATGACGGATGGATTTAAATTCGACGAATCAATAACGTTAGGAACTAAAATAAAACATATCTATAATGTTAGGTACAATTCTCCTTAATTTTTTTGGTGACCAAAGTCAATCATAACGAAAACAGAAGAGACTATCGGTGTAGTGTACCCTTAATATATATATATAACAACAAATATAAAATAATAACGATGGACAAATCTAAGAAGTTAATTAATGTGTGCTAAGAGTTAATTGCAGGAACGTCGGGCTATCCGTTTTAATAAGGCGATTTCAGGTTCTATAATAAAAATAATAGGATAAATTATTTAGATCAGTACTGCACTTTACTTTTTTCTATTTTACTCATTATACTTTTAATTTTTTTAATTTATTCACTGAACTTTGACGTTGTTCTTATTTTGGTTACTCAATAAATCTAAATTCGGTTTAAAATGGCATCATTTTATTTTTTAGAAAAAAATATTTTTTTATTTCTCCTTATTTCTTTTTTATTCTCCTTTTCCTCCTCTCCCTCTCCATCTCTCAGCCTAAACTAACTAGAGATCAACCACTGCATTAGTTGCCGCTGATCACCACATTCGTCGTCATCCACCGTCAATAGAGGTTGATGAATCTTAAAATTTCCTATAAAATTCTCCTGACTCTTCTAAACGCAAATACATTGTCTATTTAATAAAAAAAATCCAGACTACGAATCTAATGGAGATATTGAGGTTCGATGGAGCACTAATGTTGAGAATCAAGTGAATATTCTGGTGGTCCTGTCCTGCCGTGGAGGATGTCGGCCTCTGTATTAATAGCTTTAGAGATAGCTTTTCGTGCCTTTTACTTTCTTCGCATGCTTATTTGAACTTTGATTCTTAGATTTAAAGAGGCCTTAGATTTGCTTTGATCCATCCTTTGGTTCAATTTTAAATTTTTTACCTTCGAAATTTTATAATTTTAGAAACCTATTGTTACTAGAGCTCTTGTGGTCGTGAGATCGAGTTTCACTGAGGGCAATTCATAACGGAGGTCTTCCACGAAAGCTGCTCTCAACCTGGCGTTGGAGAAAGGCTACTACCCTACCTTCCCTTACCTCATTACATATGGGAATAAGATCAACTATTTTTTTTAATGTTGCTATTTTTATAATATAGTATCCTTAACATTCATTTTGATGTATTTTTGCAATACAATAATCAAACCCAAGACCCTCTATCTTAGAGCTCTTGCGCCTGGTCACTGAATTAATTTGTTACACTTTGAATAAAAATCACACTTGAAAATTGGTGACTCATAATGTAATTTACCATATTTCAATCACAACTTCCTATAAAAATTTTAAACAGTCTATTCTATTAATACTTTATTATGTACAAACATACGTCGTCATGTCAACCTCATAAGAGGTAAAAAAAAATGGATGGATGCAACCGACCCCCCAAAAAAGATTGATGCATTTACAATGTTCAACAGAAAGGACCAAAAAAAGAAAAAAAAGAAAATCACCGTCTTTATTTTTGACAATTTACTTTCTTTTCGTTACAGTCTTAGATTGTCCTCCATTGTTCACCAATGTCTTGAGCAATCTTAACGGCGTCAGAAGCCGTTCCTAAAAGCCCTCTTCCTGTAAACCCGACTGTGTACAGTTTGCATCCGTTAGGAAACGACGTTTTTGGCATGCCATCTTCGGTGAAAAAATCACATCCCTATATTTCCATTCGACGCAAAAAAAAGTTACTCCCAAGGAAAATCTATTTGGGTTATCCAACACATGAATTAATACATTATCTTATATTGTAAAAGGGGTCATTAATATTGTACCTTGAGCCAAGTAGGCACATTGCTTTTGTATCCAGTTGCTAATATTATCGCATCAAACTCCTTTTCTTGCGCATCCATGAACCTAGCTCCATTTCTCGTTATCTCTTTCACACCTTCAATTACCTTAATTTTACCGGATTTTATTTGTGCCAGTGCACCGACGTCGAGCACTGGAGTTTTTCCAGTAACATTCTTGAGCTCGATTGGACCCGTTTTCGGCCGCCGGAGACCTATTTGGTCCGTGTTACCCAAGGTGAAGTTGGATACCAGCAAAAGCAATTTATCTACTAGCTTTAGAGGGAGCCATTTGAGAAGCGCCATCGCCATACCAAATGTCGAGAAACCGAACATTTCCCTCGGTAATACATGCACCTATGCAAGGAAAAAAATCAAACGGAAAACAACATGAGCGGCAACGAAAACTTGTATAAAATGTACAAGTTAATGTATGAAATGAACTTACTGTGCTTCTAACAACCATGTGAGGAATTGCATTGTATCGACAAAGGTCCAAGCAGACTTCCATGCCGGAGTTTCCACATCCAATAACCAAAACCCTTTGGTTTTTAAACTCGGAACCAGACTTGTATGAACTTGTATGGAGGACCGGACCACTAAATGTATGAATCCCAGGAATGTACGGTATTAAAGGCTCAGCATTTTCACCAGTGGCGACAACGAGCCACCTTGAAATGTATTCAGAATCTTGAGTTTTAACCCTCCAGAACCCCGTAACGTGATCAAACTCGGCGCTTGTCACTGCTTGGTTGAACGTAGGTTGGATTGAGAAGTGTGAAGCGTAGGACTCCATGTAAGATATGAACTGGTGTTTAGTCGGGTACTTTGGGAAATTTTGCGGGAACCCAAGGAGTGGGAGTTGGCAAAACTGTTTGGGAAGATGGAGTTTGAGTCGATCGTAGGTCCGATGTTGCCATAAAGAGGCAATGCAATCACTTTTCTCAAGGATAAGAGAAGGTACACCTTCTTGTTTAAGGCAAGCCGAGGTTGCTAGACCAGAGGGTCCTGCACCTATGATAATAGGCCCCTGAACCAAAACACAGTGAGTTTCGTCGTGACGATGTTGTTGTTGTTCGCCTTTACAAGAACCCATGTCGTGAAACAATCCCAAGAAAAAAGGAATGATATTGGAAAAACAAGATAGTGAAAGAAAGCTTAAAAAGAATTGGAGAAAGAGACCTCTGTAATTATCTTTTTCTTCTTCTTTTACTTGCCCTGTTCTTTTCACTCTGTAATGCTCTGTTTTATCAATTCATACAAGTTCCATGCAGATGAGGTGGGGTTTCTAAAAGGCAGTCGAAAGGGAGGAACCGAAGAGTCAATGGAGGTAGAAAAGAAGGGGATCATAAATGCATGAAAAAAAAAGCAAATAATAGGGAGATTTCTCTTTATGATTGTAAGTAGTAATTAATTTTAGCAGTGAGCAAGGAGAAAGGGAGGTAATAGGTATTAATGGAGGCGTGAAGCTTAAGGAAAAGGATATGTTCTGTTTGTCAAGGTTGTTTTCTTATCAGTTTTTGAGTTCTCTCTGCAGATTTTTACTTGTACTTCTTTTGCTGCAATTCAAAGTTAGGCAAACTGAGCAGAGAAATCCACTTGTTACATTGCTTGTTCATGTGAATTACAAATTCAATGCTTTTCGGACTATATTTTCTTTCTCATCTGCACAATTAAGGTAATTTATATTTACTCAATTTCTTATTCTCTCATAAAAAGAATACTTCAATATCAATATATAAATTTCAATTCAACACAAACAATTGACAGTGAATAGGTAATTAGGTATATTTATTCGAACAAGAGTGTATTTTCACGACCGCATTGCATCGTCCGGTTTAGGGATGAGCGAAACTTGACCCGACTCAAATTAATTTCAGTTATAATTTTACAACTCAAATCAATTTCAAGTTATAATTTTATAACTCAAATTAATTTCAAGTTATAATTTTATAAACTCGATTCGAAAAAAATTAAAGTTCAAATCGAGTTGTAAAATACAACTCGAAATTAATTTTTTAATAATTAGTATATTATTTTTTAAATTAAAGTCAAATACATTATAAATATTTCCAATTAAATTTAAAAAGAAACTCAAAATTTTGACTAAACTTGAATTTTATAAATTAAAGTAAAAAATTAAATCAACCTCAAGTTATAAAATAAGATCTGTCAAATCAAATAACTCAACAAAATTTTATTTGACTCATCTAACACTTACTGAGGTCGGGGTAGAAATAGCTAAAAGAAGTACAGAGCTGCTGTTGGCAATCGAGTGGAATTTTGCTGTGCACTGCGTTAGGTGTTGCATGTTTGGAAATCGAGCGGATTAACCGAGTGAAGGAGAGAGGTTGTCAATGAAAGGAGTATTTTACTTTCTTGCTTTTATTTTCCGCAGGCGTAAATAGAGTTTGGTGGTAATTTAAAATTTTAAAAAAATTAGAAGTTTAAATTAAAAATTTTAAAGGGTTTAGTTTATATATGTTTCCAAAAAATTAGGGTATAATTAAAATTTTTAAAATTTTGAGTGGCTTAATGAGAATTTAAAAAAAATTATAGGAGGAGCTTAATTGAGAACATGAAAAAAATTTAGAATTTAATCTGAATTTCTAAAATTTAAAGAGGTAATTTTTTTTTTAAATTTAAGAATTTAAATTATAATTTTTAAAATTTTGGGGCCATGGCCCCCTCTAGTCTTGCTTTAGTTCCGCCGTTGCTTGTAACTAGATTTTTAAATTATGATTTTAATATAATTTGTATTGATAAATTTATATTTGTAGTATAATATTAAAATAAAAATAAAGTAACATTTAATGTTTAAATTTAATAATTTCTTTTAATGTAATATTTATATTATACTTGAAGAACGTGCATAGTAGCTTTGTGGCTGGTGAGTGATGATGTGCAGCTACCTAGCTACTTGACTTTCCTTCTTCAATTTTAGCTATAATGGCGGTGAAATTTATATTAGAGGTAAATTAAAATTTTAAAGAGATGAAAATAAATTTTTAATAGTAAATATATATAAAAAATTTAAAAAATATTATAATTTTAAATTCATAGATGACGACCGTTTTCACACACGTCTCTTGATTCATCTCTATTCATGATTGAATTAAATAAGATAATCAAATATTATATTTGTTTTATTTTTCGAGTGCAATAATTCTCGAGTTAGAGCTGATATCATTGCAGCTATGATCTTATATTCATTATATTTCAAGTTTTAAGTAGTAGACTTCTAAAAGCTTCCATCTTTTACTATATTGAGTGGGTCCAAATCACTGTATTTCGTTATCAATAATAATTGCAGTAAATAATAATGTTATCGTGAGTCAAAGGAATTTAATGCAAGTTTAATTTGAATACAAACGTCTAATTCAATTTCACCCTTCCAAAAAAATAGATGTCATCATAGACGGATATAGGATTTTAAATTAAAAGGGATAAATTTAAATTTTTAAAATTTTAAATAGATAAATTTGAATTTATAAAATTTTAGAGAGATTAAAATAGATTTTCAATAAAAGATGTAAAATATATGATAATTTTATATTTTTAGAAGAATACCGCCCCACCCACTCCCCAAGTCCATCTCTGCATGCCATGGAGTTGTTGAAAGCTGAAAAAACAAGAGCCAAAAGAGAACAGTTCACTATCAATAATTCTGGTATATTCATATAGTCTCAATAAAAAAAATATCTTATTAATTGGTGAGATTTTAACACGGTTGAAGGTTATATCTATGATTTAAAGTTTATTTATTTATTTTTTTGGTATAAGCATTAGTATTCTATATATTGATTGACTAATCTATATTAGGTACTGCAGAGGTGAGGGCGATCCTCCCACTAGACTAATTGGTTGTTGGCTTTTTTTTTATTAAGCTCAAGGTGATTACAAATTAATATATGTTCTAAATATTCTCAATCATTTGAAAATGAATATTCAATTACATGTTGTAGTTGTTGGTGCTTGAGCTCGTGACCTCTAAGAACAACAACGATTCCTTTAACTAATGAGGTAAGTTGATTCGTACATTTATGATTTAAAGTTATACATTTTAAAATTTTAAGATTTGAGGTTACATTTATTATTTTAATTTATAATTTTAAATAGCATTTTAGATTTCTAATTCATGTGTTATAATTTATGATCATTTTAATATGTAATGTGATCGATATTCAAATAAGCATTGGTATGGAGTATCTTTTTACTGCTACTATGGAATAATAATCCTTTAAGAAATAAGATATTATATATTACGTTACGTAATAAAGATGATAGCAGCGATGAATAATGTTTGGATACATGGGATCTAAAGGGGCTTGCAACGATTTTTATGATATATATAGGATATTAAAATTGTTGGATGAGTGAAAATAAATAATTGAGATTATTTTTTTATTTTTTAAAAGAAATATTTTCACATTTCTTACTTTTAATCTCAACCATATATTTTATACATTCAATCATATTAAATATGTGTAAAACTAAAAGAGTTTTATATTGTGTAAGTAGGTTATATATATATATATATATTTGGAGCCCACATTACTGCTGTACTATATACGACTATGGTCCTCCATGTACTTTTATTTCCATAGAAAGTATTAAAAAGGTTTATAGTAATGTCTAAATTAATCATGTTACTAAAAGCAATATTGTTTGATTATGGGCATAACTTTTTAGGCTGTGATTTATAAAGCTAAGACATGTTTTTAAATGTTTATATTAGATATATTAATTCACGAATCAAACTACCTCAATGGTAAATGAATTATTCTTGTTTTTTGAGGTCTTGAGTTCAAGCATAAAAAACGTCATGGGTGTGAGCGTTCAATGTCAAATGATTGATAGTTATATTTGAATAGATATTACCCATTACTCTTTCTAGAGTATCCTGGTTTGAGAAGTTGTGTTTGTAATATATTTGTACATTGTTAGTAATTTAAGGGAATTTTGAATAAATATTATTTTATAATTATCCAATAATATTTTATTGAGACAATATTGAGTTACATATATAAGATTTTTGAAGAGTTAGATCCAGGTCCCATCTTACAAAAGTAATATAACAAATGATTAAGAGTTATCCTTTAATGGATACTACTCGTTATTTTTTCTTGAGTATAATGGTTTGAGAAGTTGTGTTTGTAAGATATTTATACATCGTTAGTAATTTAAGAGAAATTTAAACAAATATTACTTTATAACCACCCAATAATTTTTTGATTGAGACAATATTAAGTTATATAAGATTATGAACCAGATCCTATCTTACGAAAGTAATTCTTACTTGAGTTATTATATAAACTTTAGATGTTATCATATTTATTATTTAAAGTGTTCTGATAATAAATTAACTTCAATAGGTTGTCCTGGTTGAATTTATATAGGTTTTCAAGGTTTCATTAAAACCTTACCAACACCTTTTTAAGTTATATAATAATAATCGTTACTTTTGTTTCATTTCTTCTGGTGTCAAACACAATAAATATTGATGATTTTTTTGTTGTTTACTTTGTCTATTGTACTTTAAAATTGGGTGATCCTGCTTTTGTTCTCGTTTCTTTCAAATAAACCGAGTCGTTTTGCTGCATGCTTGAAGTACTTAAAAATCAAATATTGGACCGACCAAAACCCTAGCCCCATCCAGTACACTCAATTGCCCCTACTTTCCCCTCTCTTTGTTCCCCTTACACGGATTATTTAACTTAAATTGGTTTCACAGAATCGAATCTTCAACAAAAGGAGCAAAGATTGAAGAAAAATGCCATCATTCAAGCATTGATTCGATCAGTATATTATATCAAGGAGGTGTGTACCTTTGCTACAACTTTTTTCAATGACTACAAATTTTATTACCTGGTTTTGCAATGATGTTCGCGAGAATACTGGTAGTTAGTCGGGATTAATTAAGATTTAAGCATACGATTTCCCTTAGTTGGACCTAATTAATTAATAAAAGTGATTTAGGTTCATGTGATAGTACTTGAAACACCAAAGCTTACTAATGATTTATGTTTAATGTAGGAGATAATGATATAGTAATAAAAGCCGTCAATAGAGTTGATTAAAGTGATAAATAATTTAATATTATTTAAGTAAAGTCTCGAGTTGGAGTATTTATGTATACAATGTAAATCGATCTGAATAAATTAAAGTAAAATCTTATAATTGGGAGGGTGGCCAAGTATAAAATTAACCACTCGTATAATTTAC